CCCCTCTCCCTGGTGGTGCAGCCCAGCCCAGCTCCACAGACCCCTGCCAACCTGTGCCCCGCTCTGGGCCCCCCACCCCATGCTGGCCCTGGGACATTGGTCCCAAAGACATTGGGATATTGGTCCCAAGATGGTGACCAAGGGGCAGTGCACCTGTCAAGGGGTAGGGCTACCCATGAGGCCCTCAACAGCTTGCCAAAACTGGGAAAGCAGCTCTCTGCCCAAAATAATTGCCTGCCCCTGCTATATGCATACACAGTTTGAAACCCAAGTTATGTTTTACAGGCAAAAATATTCCGTCTGATGTTTTTAATTTTATCTTCTCCAGAAATTATCTGCAAAAAATACTGTAATATAACACAGTGGTTGCACAGAGTCAGTAAATAAATTCTAAGATTACATTCATTTGAGTCCATTGTATTAATTATTATTCTTCCTTTTCAGGCTAAATATGTAACTTAATATTTTCCTGTGTATAAGCTAAACCATCTGAGAATAATGAACACTTCATATGCTAGTTCTGGTGCTGTTATATTTCACCTGAAGTATCAATGATAGGCTGTTCTTAAAAGCAAGATGCCAGATGTAATAGACTAGCATGTCCAAATCCAATATTCCTATTAAAAATGTTAAGCTGAAATTAAGGAAGGAACTGAAATTATACACAAGTTAAAGATAGGAAGGAAGCAGAAAGCAGGCCCAGAATGAGATGGGCAAAATCCATTGACTTCATGGAAAGTCTGATTACTCAAAGAATATATAACCAGGCCCGTATTTTGAAAACTTTGAGTAACTACTTGAACAGATCTCAGATCTCCATTATATATGACAGGATTATAATACAATTTCTTCACAGAACAGAACATTATGTAAATTCACATCTTTAACACTTTAATCTTGCCACACCAAAATTTAAATTCACACAAAAGCAAATAAATATAAAATTATAGAGGTGTGGAAAATATAAGGATGAAAAGCATCATGTTTGAGGGTTGTTTTTTAAAAATGGAATAATAGTTTTAACTAATTACTTAAAGAAAGAAAGAAAATTACACTCAGGCCAGTCTTTCCCTTGCTCAAAGACAGCCCTAATACACAAACCTATTGCTTTAATAGATGAATTGGAGTAGCAGCCATCAAACTTCAGCATGTCAACTTCCCATTCTGTGAATGTTTTGGCATCACTATTGATTGAACCATGCTGGATACAATGGTAGCCACCGTAGGTGTAGTTGCCCATATCACAATGGGCATTTCTACACGTGCCCCTGACTGCACAGTTGGTACTGCGCAGTCCCAGTGGTACATGGGTCTGTTGCAGAGCACTTAGGTGCCCTGCGTCTGAGAACAGAGACAGCTCAAGAGAGACCCCTAGCGGTGAGAAGGGGGAGGCGCAGATGCCAGTCACCAGGGCAGCACAGGTGCTGGTTGCTGGGGCAACCAGCAAAACCTGCTGACAGGAAGGGGCAAGGCTTAGCCCTTCTTAAGCCCAGGCAGGAGATTAGGGTGGCAGTTCCCCTCTGGCAGCCAAGGAGGGGGGAGCTCAGCCAGAGCGGAGAGCGGGGCAAGGATTGACTGCATGAGCATCCACTGGTTTGCTGCCATGGGCTGGAGCATTTTTCCC